AAATGTCAGATTTCCTGCAAATACATTAGAATTTACAAAAGGAATTCCATTACTAATTGCCTTCTTTGCGTACTTTTCTACTACCATTTACGCAACAAGGGATTGCATTCTTGCCCTTTCTCTGCCCTTCGTAAATGCAACCTTTTGTAAGGGAGTGTCAAACCGCAGCTGTCAATAATTATCTAACCTTGTATTATTGAATCATGATCGAGGCCATGCTTTTGTTGCAATAAAAGGATTTTCTGTAATGGATTTCTCGTGAATAAATGCCGCTTTGGTTTGATTATTTTTAACCGATCCATCAGTATAAATGATTTCAAAGTTTTGTTTGTTTAAATGATTGACCTTTTCCTGATATAGATTGGATATTATGGATGGATTCGCTGACTTTTTATTTTGTGCTGATCCCTTGAAAAAGTGCCTATCTGCTTTCAGTTTGTTGGATACTGGCTTAACTGTGACTGACGCTACGTTATGGAAAATTATCTTGTATTTGTTGTATACGCTATAGTAACTGGTTCTTTTATTTAACTCATTTGTTAATATCATTCTTTTAGCTGGTAAGTTATACGCAATGCATTTAATTATTTCTTTTGCAGTTGATAGTTCAAACCGAAGTTTGGGAGGCAGCTCTGCTGCCATGTGATAGATGACATGAACGGGCGTAGATCTTATGAGCCCTAAACAGCGTCTAATATTTGCATTGCAGCATTTGCTAAGTTTTTCTAAAGCCGTTTTCGATAGATTTGCGAAAGATGACGCAGCATAGTCCAGTTTTGCCCGAGCAAACGCTTTATATAGCTGAATTGCTTTCCGGGGATCCACACCGAATCTACAGCCACTTATTATGTTAAGAAATCTACACGTTTGATTAGTCTTTTTAACGACTTGATTAATATGTTCTGCGCACGAGTTATTTATACTAATTATTCTGCCTAGATATCTTATGTTTTTAACTTGCTCGATATTGATATTGTTAGATTGAATATTTAATTGTGTATTCCTCTGGTTAAAATATATTGTCTTAGTTTTATTTAGATTTATTTTTAAATTAATTTTACCACATTCATTAATAAATTGATCAATTTTTTCTTTAAGAACTTGCTTCGCTTGTTCCTGTTTTCGGGATGTGCATACTATGAACAAATCGTCGGCGAATTGAAACAAATTGCAATTTGGATCTTTTATGGAGTGTAACTGCGCTGTATAAACGTTGAATAGTGTAGGGCTTAATCCACTGCCCTGTGCTAACCCATTCTCCGTTATAACTTTTTGATTATTTAGTATGAGGAAACGCTTTCGGAGAAATGATATTATCCAATTAATAATTCTGATGTTGAAATGGTAATTTATAAGGATTGATTGCAGAATGTCCACATCAACAGAGTCGTAAGCCTTCTCCACGTCAATACAAGCAGCCATTACTTGCCTATTTTTCCCTTTTTCAGCGTAAATCAAGTTTATTAAGTCATTAATGCATTGTGCAGTCGAGTGGTGCTTCCTAAAACCATAGGATCTATCGGGAAATATTTTATGCTCTGTTATATGCTTTTCTATGTGTAACCTAATAATTCCTTCTATTGTCTTTGCTAGAACCGACATCAAACATATCGGTCTATAATTATACACATTTCCAATATCTAGACCTTTTTTTGGGATAGGAATTATCTTGATTTCTCTCCAGACTTCCGGAATCTGTCCACTATTCCAAATCTCACACAAAATGTTAAACAGATTGCTCTACTCTTCATCTTTTAATTGTACCAACATTTTGTACGATATAGGATCATTTCCTTTGGCGGAATTTAAGTTTCTGCTGTTTAGAAATTTAGAAAAGTTTTCTATGTTCATTTCAACTATGCCTTCATTATTTGAATTTGAATTAGCGTCACTATTGTCGTTATTAGGATTATTGCTTCTTTGTCTAGTTATATGATTGAGATATTTAATACTATCTTGTGTATTCCATGAATTATTTACATTTTTCTCACACTGATATTTTTTTAAATTTCTAATTTTGGCCCACATCTCTTTTGCACAGGACGGATTTGAAATCTGATCAATTACTTCGCTGAAGTTTTTGTTCTTTTGTTCTTTTATGTGTTCCCTAAGATTCTTTTCCGCTATGTCTAATAATTCAAGGTTTTGCATTGTTTTGTACTGGTTATACTTTTTCCTGGCCGCATTTCTCAACCTGAACAACCTTTGCGAAGTATCTGTCCACCAATGTTTAGGGATATATTTGTTTGAATTATTAATTTTTATTGTATTCTTTTGTATGGTACTATTGCATGTTTTTATGAATTCTTCTAAATTATGTCCCACTTTCACCTCGTTCATATCTTTAAGAACTTTCGATGTTATAATTTTAGATGTAGATGTTTTGGCTTTAAATTTACTATGAACAGTTACAACTATGGGGTTATGATTGCTGTTTGTTAGTTTATTTATCACTTTCCATGTACATCTGACATTAGGTTTGTTCGTCGAAAATCCAGCAAGAATTATCCAACACTCAAAATATCAGAGAGTAAGAAAAAATTCTCTCAAATTCTCTCTCATGTTGAGAAACTTGCAAATTTCTGCACGAACGCAAATTTGCAGGAATTTGCAAGTTTCCTTGCCAGCTGGTGTCCACGGTTGCATTTCAAACATAAAAAATTTTTATAGAATTTTTAAAATTCTTTCGGATGGCCAAAAACAGAATATACATGTATATTTCTTGTTGTTCTGACTTTCTTTAACATACATTTCAATTTCTTCATCGTACTAGCTGTCGGGTTTCTTAAATCGACTCTGGTTGCAATTGCATTCCGATTGCGAATACCATTTTTTTCAGCCGAATTAAGTTCAAATCATTGGAATTAACTAAATTAATTATATCAACAATTATTTACTTCCCTTTTTCATAAAAAAATCGCTCGTGTTTATAAATTTTTAAATTTAACGAACTAATTTATTCAAATTATTGTAGACAAAAATGCAACCATGCGCCACAACCACATGTTTTTCGTGTTTGCAAATTCTTGCTGGCAAAATTTTTTCCAGCAAGAATTTGCAACTTCTCTCCAAGAGAACTGTCACTTTGCTCTCACAATTTTTGAGTGTTGGATAATTTTTTGGTCTGCACGAACGCGATTTGGGCAAAAATCGTGATAATTCGTACAAATTCGTACAAATTTTTTGCTCGACGAACAAACCTATTATCATTAATGAAGGTTACATCTATAGCTGACGCATTCGATGAATTTACTGCATAGGTCGGCGAACCATCGTTTATACACCTAAAATTGTAGTCATTTGCTAAGTTTTCCAGGATGTATCCTTTGCGATTCGTTGTGTGATTGTCCCAGCTTGCACCTTTTGCATTTAGATCGCCAACGATTAACGTTGGCCCTCTCAGCTGTCTTATGTGTGTAAAAATTTTATCCAAACCATTTTTAAATTGAATATTGTTGGTATTTGGTGTGCTGTATAAACTGATAATATTTATGTTTCTGTTCAAATTTAAAGTTGTAATCCCCACATTTTCTACTTCACTGTTAATTTTGAATGTTGAAAATTTAATATTTTTCCTCAAATAGATTCCCACTCCTCCAAATCCATCCGGTCTATTGGAGAATGCAAAATTGTAACCATTCATACTTGTTTCGATGTTACTGTTCAGCCAAGTCTCTGACAATATTGCCGCATCTATCTGGTTATTATTTAAACAAAGCTCTAATAACACTTTATTTCCTAATCTTTTTAAACTTTGAATATTAAATTGTAGTATTTTCATTTCCATTTTTACTTGCGTTATTTATTAAAGTGCTGTCGAATTCATTATTTATTTTATTTAATGCTGCTCGTATATTGTTAAATAGTTCTATTGTTTTGTAAGTTCAATCTGTCGTCGACATTGTTAGCTAAGTGTGTGGATATAGCATGGTTTAATTCATTGAAGGTATTTTGTGTACTAACAATTTTGTTGGTATCCATGGCTATTTTTGCTGATCTTACCGGTTGAATGGCCTCTCTCCATTCCTGCATTGTCCGAGATGCATTCAATTCCTCTCTTTGTCTGTTGAGGTTGCCTATTTGGGCTACTCTTGAATAAGGTAATATTTTATGCATAAAGCTGATTGTATCTTTGTTATTGTTGGGTAGCTTGATTAATTCTATTTCTATTTAGGCCGGAGGATATTCTTCCTCGTAATTGTCCAATAATTCAAACCGGTTGCCTAAAATGTCTGAAACCTTTTTTTGCGCCTCCCTGTACGTTAGAGGTGGGTAACTCAACTCAGAGTTGAGTTATTGAGTTGATTCCTATAAGTGAATCGGTAACTCAGACTCCCTGTCCAAAAAAAATTTAACTCAGTAACTCAGTTGATGCCGTAGGGCTCACATGAATCAATTGAATCATAGTGGCTCATATTTGTCCATATAACTCTCTCGCTTCGCCACAGTGTTTAGCATGGCAAAGTCTTGCATTTTGTTTTTGCACGAGGCGAATTTATACAAGGTGGTGGCAAGAATACAACAACAACAACCACATGTATTTTGTATTGCGGGTGTTATGTCAAATCTCACAAATTCTTATAATTTCGTTTTTTTTTTTAGTTTTTCTCGAAATATGTATGTATGTAAGATATATAAAGATGTGCATATCAAATCAATTGCCTTTCCAACCATATCCACATTTTGAAATTCGGTACAATAGGTTTCGAAATATAAGCTTTTGAAAATATTGAAAATTCCACCTTTACCCTCCCCCTAGCACCGCCCTATTAATTTGCACACAAAAAAAATTACACCTTTCAAATCAGTAGAAAGGAGCTGACCACGCCCACTTTAAAGTTTTGTTTTATCTCAACGGCCGCTATACCGCATCTATGCCTCAAAACGAGTCTACGATACGAATGAGTGTAACATACAAAGAGTCAAATGAGTTAGTTGAATGAGCTGACTCCTTAAAGTGAGTTGGAGTCATTGAGTCAACTCCTATAAATTTGCTGAGTTACCCACCCTTACTGTACGTTCTGTTTTCAACTACCATCGTTCGCCTTATAACATATGCTTTCACCCTAGCCGGGCAATCTCTCGCAGTCGGTAAATGCTTGCTTTTGCAATTAACACAGACAATTGGCAGACAACTATCTCCCACTCCGTGCTCTTGGAAACAATACTTACATTTATTTGCTCTCTCCTTGCAATGCTGTGCATAGTGGTTAAAACGATAACATCTATAACATTGAGCTAGCGCGATTAAATGTTTTACTTCAATTTTGGTGTAACCTTATACTACCGTTTTGGGTATTTCCAGGCCTTTAAATATTATTTTTACACGTCTCGTTGGTATTTTAATGTCTTTATTGTCTTTATCTCTCCGTTCAACTCTTATAATTTTTAGAATTGGTATCGGCGACTCAATATCCTGCAACAGTTCTTCCGTGCTAATATCAGAAGGTATATCAAAAATAATGCCCATTTTTGAAATATTGTGATACATTATTCTGGCTTCGTAGCCTTCTTGTCCAAGTCTCATATCTCTTGCCAAATCATTGGCTACCTGTGCTGTTTTGCAAACAATCTTTGCCCTTCCATATCCCACTTTGACCACGTCGTCAATGTCTACATATTTTAATTTTTTTAAAACTCGTGATACTGCTACGGCATTAATAGATTTTCTTTCAACGTTAGCCGGTATTGCATCGATATAGACAATAAACGGCACTTTATAATCCTCTTCATATAAATTAATTCTTTGCTCCATCTTTTTTGAACTCACTGACGCACTATTTATGTTTAATGGCTTTATAAAAGTATTAGAAGTATTTTGACCATTTATCTGATCATTCACTTTAGCTTTTTTGAACGTCTCTCTCGTTAACGAATTAGATCTTGTAGTCTTTTTTGCTTTATGACCCGAGGAGCCACTAGGCTCCTCAGCGTCATCACCCATTTTGAATTTCAACTAACTGTAGTTTTTTACTATAATTTTTTTATCCGAATTTATTTCAATAAAATCGACCAAAATTAGTTCAATGTGTTGATTTATGTCAATAGTATCACTTAAACTATCCTTGTGAAGATTTTTGGTATATTTTCCTTCGATTTTTCACTATTAATTAAATAATTAAAATCCGCTGAAAAATATGCCGCCTAACGCGTCGCTCGTAGCGTTGCCAAATGAGGATACCACTTTGTAATGAGTTTTCGTACGTTTTAAATTTTACACTTTTGAATGTAAACAAAAATTATATCAGCTGATCGTTTAACTTGCAAGTTTCTGCAAATTTTCTGTTCGCGTACCGTTTCCGATATTTTTCTTTTGTGATAGAACTGGTGACATTTCGCCGGAATTTTGCTGTTGGTTGGTTTTTACTGGAGATTTTAGACGAACGCGCCTAATCTTGCATTAATCGCTGAATTCCTAAATCTTTCGGGTTCGTTTCACTTTTACATTGAATAAGAAAAAGACTATAGAACGAAATATTACAATGCTATGTATAAGCGATATACTATTTATGTATGTACACAAATAAGTGAATAGATTCTTGGATTATTATTGTTTTTTTTAATATAATTTAGTTATTTGTTTATGTTTTTGATTTGCTATTATTAAAATGTATTAAAAGCATTTGTTCTTGAATGAATTTATATTCAGGTAGTTTTTTTTTAAGCAATCGGCATCGGCCGATTCTTTGCCCTCCAGCCGATTAATCGGCAGCGGCTGAGGGAATCGGTCGTACTTATTATAACGGTGCTGTACAAGTTTTAGCTGGGAATATTTTTTCCCATGAGCTGTTTGCTTACGTTTTTGTTTTTCCC